GACGGGGGGAGGAGGGGGAGGGAGGAGAGACATCTTGAGGAGAATGAAACAGGCTGTTCTCAGACGCAGATTTTTTTTTTTCTCTTCCTCTCGTCAAATACTTCACAAACAACCGTGTGCAGTGAAACTCTGTTAAAGGACAACCAGAGACTTGGGGACGTGCGGAGATTCTCTCTGGATGGAATTCTGTTGGTTGTCCAGTGTCCACGCACTGCAGTTGTCATGGCAACAGTCATTAACCAAACAACCAAATATTCTCTAATCACAGGTTTGAGTCCCGATGGGAAACACGTGTTAATCCAGATTAAACCCATTTATTTTCCAGGATTCTCAAGGAACTTTTTCAAACGGCTGACCAGTTCCTACAGGCCACACGGTGGACTAGTGGTTACTGCCTTTACCTTTACCATGCAAACTCCGTACAGAACAACCATCAGTGCTTGAACTGCTGACCTTCTTACTGTAAGGCAAAAGTCAAAATCATTCACCTGGTGGACCATGATGAGCTACAATTCTAAAGGTTAATAACAAATAAAATTAAAAAAATACTAAACTACATCAGCGACCACGCAGTCAAAGAGCGGTGAGTGCTGTCACCTTACATCAAAAACGTCAAGGGTTCGAGTCTCAATTCTCACTCTTGCTGGAATTTTCCCCGCTGTTTCAAAACGTGGGCGACTACATGTTCACACTCAGCTGACTAAAGAGTGTGAATGGGAGTGTGAATTTTAAGTGTGAATAACCAGGATGTAGCTCTGTCATCAACTGATGACAGCTGCAGTTGGCTCCGCCCCCTGTGACTCTGAACAGACCAGTTTTGGTCTGGACTTCCTGTTCAGGTTGACAAGATTTATTTCTTATTTGTTTATTGTTTGACATTTGTTTTTTTCTGTGGCTGAACTTCAACTGTTTCTGATTGGATGAGTGATGTCACGTTCCTGTCATTGGCCCTGTGGTCTGGCTGGGAGTGGGCGGAGCCTGTCATCTGGCCCAGGTGAAACAGGTTTGGTTCATGTGTGTGTGTTTTGTCGTCTGAAGGAATTGAACCTCTGACCAAACAGAGACCACCGCTGAGGCCCAAGGGTGAGACCTGTCTGTTTTCTTATATCTTTGCTATCTCAATTTCTGAGCTAAACTGAAGCTACCATGTGGCTAACTGTTAGCCTGTCTCTGTATATGTTGGAGCAGCAGCCTTCACAGTGGTCAGTGGAGGAACTGCAGGGCCGTGTTAAAATTTAAGATTGAAAAACATTTTTGAGCTGCATATATACACACATATATTTGTATATATATATATATATATATACATACATACATACATATATA